ACTCTATCCATTGACCTTGGGGCCATTCCCACCCAGAGAGACTTCATCTAAAAGTCACATTCCACACGGACATGAATTCGGGGGGCAGGGGGGGACGACACTGGTCCACCTAGTACAGGGCAGTGATGTGCTGGTGATTTGGGGGCTCAGGTTGGAAGGGGGGTGGGGTATGTTTCTTAATTTTGTTTTTTAATAAATCAGCTGTGGGGCAGGCAGGTGGCATGTGGTTGAGGACACTGGACTCCCATATGGCTGATTGTGGTTTGAGTCCTAGACCTAGAGGCTTGCTTTCTCACTTTCTCTCCATCTCTGTCTCTCTGTGTCTCTCTCTTTCTGGAGATATTAAAATAGTAAGTTAAATAATTCTTAAAAAAAAAAGAAAAAGAAATCAGCCATGTTATTCAAATACAGTCAGCTGACCATATCCTTGGGTTCCACATCTGCTGGTGTCAACCAGCTGTGTGCTGAACACACAGACCATTTTCCTTGTTATGTTCCTTAAACAATGAGGCTTAACAGTGATTTCCGTAACATTTACATCTTACAAGCTGTCTTTTATCTGACACATTTGCACTTGTAAGTGAATGTCTTTTATTCAAAACACTTGGGACCTGTAGGTGACCGCTAAACCTAGGCAAAAACTAGTGAAGCAGATAGGGTGTTGGTGCTTTAAAGCAGATGTGGTCTCAGTGTTGATGCTGCCAGGCAAGTGAAAGCTCCAGTAAAGATGTGCTCTGCACTGCAGGCAGTGTAGACTGAGGGGAGCCGTGCCAGCCAGAGAGGCCCACCATGAGACGCGGGAAACTGGCTGCAGGTGATGAGGGAAAATACCTGGCTTTGCCCTAGTAGAGAACAGACCTGAGAACAACGCAGTGTCCGGAGACCCCGTCAGAGGCGCCAGGTCTGCCTGATCCCTGCTTTCTTCTACTTGTGTACCTTTTGTCTTTTCCAGATCCACCACTGCTCCCACTCCGGAGTTCACCCCACCCCAACTCCCAGCTTTATTGAGCCAGGGCAGGGACCAGAAATATTTCTGATTTCAGATTTTTTCACATTTTGGAATATTTTCAGATTCTCTTTGTGGGTGGACTTGCATGGGGAACTCAAGGCATGTGCAAGAAAGATTCATAGTCGCTAACGGGGACTGGGAGGCCTTTCTCCCTCCGGGACACTGAGTATGCTGAATAAACTGCGTGCCTGCATTTTGAATGTGACCCTTCTCATGTGGTCAGGTGTGGAATCATGTCAGTACTCAGAAAGTTTTGGATTTTGAAGCATTTGGAGTTTGGGGCTGGGGTGGTCAACTTGTATTGGGTATTATAGGTACTCTAGAGGTTATTTATAAGCATAAACATAGTTCATGTTCATGTTCACAAAGTATTCCACAGATGATTCTTGTTTATTTTCTTTTAAAGAATTAACAGAATTATAACATCTTTCAGTTGAAGACCAAATATGTTAGTTTAAGTGAGTGAATGAGTGAATGGAATAGAAATGCAGTTTTAATTTCAGCTCTTTGTATTCCAGAAGGGGCTTTTAAACCAGGCTAACCTGCTGCCTCCATGCCTTCTAACCTGTTGTCTGACTATACCTCTATTTAAAGCAGGGTTTATGCAAATACTACACATTTTTTTTTTATGTAGGAGGCCGGAGTGTCCATGGTTTTTCATAATACACATTTTCCATGAAGTTTTCCCCATGGTGTCTGCATGTGACTTGAGGTTAAGGTGCATCTAGTTGCTGGTAATTATTTTAAACCAGCTGAAGCCAAAAAAGGAATTTAATAGAAAGATGTCTGACTACCTTTTAAGTCAAGTGCAAATGGTCTCCCAGCCATGTGGGCTTCACTCTTCATTTCTCTATGCATCTGTTCTTTATTTTTTGAAAAGTTTCTTTTATGAGAGCATGGGCATGCACAAGAGAATGAGACCGGGGGGAGAGCGAGAAAGAGAGAGAGAGGCAGCCCTGCTGGGCCTACTGCATTCCACACACATGGTCAGCCATGGTTGTCCGCAACTCCCAAGTTGACTGTCCTCATTTTAAGCAAACCTTAGGGATAAACGGTTTATCTAATTTCCGGTTTATATTACAGGGCAAGAGCTCACGAGTGACTTTGTTTGGGGCAGGTGTTGCACGCATCAAATACAAGCAAAGTTTTTAAGGTCTTACCTTGGCAGGGCGCAGAGCTGGGAGGAGGGTGTGCTCCAGGGACAGTTGCAAGTGCTCTGTGGAATGCTGGCAGTTTGTCAGCTGTCTGTCATGGTTCCGCCATGACATGAGAACAGAGAAGGGGTTAGCATTTAAAACCTTTTATAAAAATGGGACAGGGTAGTTTTGTTAGCTTTTGATGTATTTGATTTGGTTTTGACTGCATTTTTTTTTTTACAAAGTGGGAAAGGATGATATTGGTCCTCTTATCAATAGCTTGAGACTAGTGACTGAAACACGTCTGAGAAAGCATGCGTGGTTCCCTGAGCAGAGCTGCCTGCTAGTGGGCCACTGGCTTGCTCAGGGGAGAGAGGTGGTGTAGTCATCTACACTCACGCCTCATTCGCTCCTAGGTGTTGCTGGGCCTGCGTGACACCAGCCACTCCATCGTGGCAATTACTCTGCATAGCCTAGCGGTGCTGGTCTCACTGCTGGGACCGGAAGTGGTTGTGGGAGGAGAGAGAACCAAGATCTTCAAACGCACTGCCCCAAGTTTTACTAAAACTCTCGACCTTTCCCCAGAAGGTAAGAATGATTAAAAGCTCTCACTTTCTAGTGTGTTCTTTTACTTTACTAGGTTTAATGTAAGTAATGCCAAAAGGCTGTTTCCAGCATATGGCACTAAGAAGTAGAAGGAAGAAGTTCATTTCCCTTCCCAACTCCTTCCAGGAGATGCAATTTAACCAATTTTAGTAATTTAGGGCCGGCCTCACAGTCAGCTAGTTATGGGAGCTGGATCCCACACAGCCAAACACGCGATCTGAGTCCTCGTCTCAGCAGCTTGATAAAAACGTGTGCCTAAAATCCCGACAGGATGGAGAGCTGGGATGGGAAGGGATTGGAGCATGACCACAGCTCATGGGGGTGATTTCTCCTTCTCTGTCTGTCTCTGACAAACGCATGTGCTTTCTGGCAAAATAAGCAAATAGACAATTTTAATAATGTAGTGGCAACGTAGTGGGAATCCTTTCAAAGCCTTCTTAAGCCCACAAAAAGACACACAGAGATATATTTTTGCATGCATCTCCATTTTTTTAAATGACAAGCAAATGCCACGCACAGATCTCTAACTTGTCCTCATGTAGCAGATCAGGGACCTGTCTCTGGGCCCATAAAAATGTAGCTCTTTGGTAGCTGCCTCACATTTCGATGAATAGATTTCATTTGCTCATTTTTGGGTCCCCAGTCACTACAAACAGCACTGAGTAAATCTCCTTATATACGGATCTTTCCATAATTAAGGTTTCACTGCCGTGGGATAGAGCCTCAGAAGTGAACGGGCTGGACCAGTAACTTTTAGTAAACAGTGGTAGCAGTTCTTATTAATACCAGACGGTTAAATACTGTTGATTTTGTTGGCCTACTCGTTGAAAAGCGGTTTTTAGATACTTTAATCCTTGCTTCTGACAGGTTCCCACTGGGTAGTGTGGGAGATGGGGCTGATTTCTGGTCTCACAGGAATTTGGCACCAGTGGTGTTGCTGCTTTCCTCCTCTGTCTACCCTGGGATGACAGTGACCTCCTGACAGTCTGGATCTCCAAGTCAGTGCTCACTGTCCTGAGCAGACAGCATGGAAACTACTCTGGGTAGAAGAGAGTGGTCTGAGAGGCTCGTCTCTAATTTTGATTCCGAGAGAATCTTTAAGCAGCACTGGTTTCCCAAAGTTAGAGAGAGGTGGTTCAGCTCTTCTTGGTGCTTCCAAACAGTCAGGACCACATGGCTCCTGTCAAGCAGCTTGACAAAGGTGTTCCAGGCTGTGGAGGTGATTGTGCAGAATTGGGTGGTCTGTTTGTTCCCATTTCTTCCCAGCAGATTACGTGGAGCAGCAAATGAGACAGTACATGTCTTAGTAAGAAACTGGAAGGTCACCAGGGCAGCAGTTGGAGGTGAATTTTTCCTGGCAACTGTGAGACAGACCAGCAGGGCAGCCCTGAAGGCTGTGGGGGTGCTGGGAAAGGGCGAGTATAGGGAGGAACTGAGTTTTCTTCTTTTCTGTCTTTGCAGTTTGCTTGTTCTTGGTCAAACTTAAGAATAGTGGCTAATGAGACAGCAGATGGCAGAATGGTTATGTCCCTGGACTCCCACGTAGTCGGCCGTGGTTTGAGTCCTGGACCCAGCGACTTAAAACTCCCGCTGGGCGCATGTGTGCGTGCGCCCCAAATCCCAAGAGACTGGAGAAAGGATTGCAGCAATTCCATCCCCCCGGGGGGGGTGATTTCTTGCTGTCTCTCTGGCGAGTGCATGTGCCTTGTAGCAAAAATCTCTCCCCAAAATAACAAGAGTAGTGACTAATACTGGAGCCAGCAGGTGGTGTGGGGAAGGTGCTGGACTTGTGCAAGGCTGACTGCAGTTCAAGTCCCAGATCTGGTGGCTTGCATTCTCTTTAAACCTCTTCCTCTCTTTCTGGTGAGCACATGTGCCCTACAGCAAATTTAAAATAGTAATAAACAAGATTAAATAATTATCTTAAAAAATAGTGGCTAATACTGAGTTTTATAAAAGGTGTATAGGGAATTAAGAAACAAGTCTACCTGGAAGAGTGGGGGTGGGGTGTGGCTTAGAGGAGGGCCCCCCCAAGAAGGGGAGCAGCACAGGTAACTAAGCAAGGATGGAGGACGGCCTGTCCATCACCCCACCTCCCCTCACTCTGCTTTTTCCAGGGAAGGGGGGAGTTCAGCCAGCTCTTTGCTAGAATCTTTTTGATTGTCTTAAGTATACATTTTCTGGTAAAGTATGAAAAATTTTCCTGAAATTTTTTAACCCATCTAGGGGTTAAATATCCACAGCTTACAGTTTATTTTTACAACCATTTTTTTAATGGTTAGCTTTGTGGTATTAAGTATTGGGTCACCAGAAAAGTCATGACATACTTTCCTATGCAAAAATGCCTCATAACTTTTCTGATGACGCAATACATTCACATTGTGGTGCTTGTATTCTTAGACATTTATTTTTTGTCTTTTATTCTTAAAAGGCAAACGAGCAGAATCTGTCAGTCCCCACCAAAATGTCTTTAAAGGCTGAGGTGTTTAGCTGGGTGTCCTGCAGGTTAACCCACATAGCGTGAGCCTTTCTGTCCCTCACTACCACATGCTGGGGACACAGCCTGTTCTTAAATGCGAGGGCCAGGCAGTCCATTCTGAGGCATTCCTTCAAATGTGTGAAGGCTTTCTCCCCCAGCAGTTGACCTTTTGTCCTAAACATGCCAGTTTCCTGCCATTGTTGCTGAGTATGTGCAGATCAAGCAGCAGTCTGCTCTCCCTTTCATTCTGGTTTTTTTTTTTCCCTTCAGATTCTCCCATGCATGGCGTGTGCAGCCAGCACAGCAAGCGGACAGCAGCCTCGGAGAGCCCGTCCTCCGGCAGGAGCCCTGGACGCTGCTTTGCCGTCAGCGCACCCATCTCCAACACGGAGCACAGACAGCGGGGGGCTTACAGCCCTCTGTTCCAGACAGGTAGAAGCTGCAGTCTACATATACCACTTTCCCAGTGCTTGGGTAAATGCTCTCCTTAGGGTAATCGGCTTATATTCTGAATTTATGGTCCCTTTGGGACAGCTCTGGCTTCTGGTTTCCCCTGCCTCGCAGCTACTAAGCAGAGCAGGCTGACGTTGCTAGGCGTCACTAGCTCTTTTGCACCAGGTGCTTTGTGTTGGGACTTGGGGCCTCAGTGCGTGTTGTCCACGTGGTACGAAGGACAGTTCTGAGGGATGTTGGTAGGCATGTTGGAAAGAGTTCTGTGGTTACTGAGTTTGGGGAAAGGGTGGCAGTCATTTTATATTGTATGAGATTTCTCAGTGCCTTGCCAGCATCTGGCTAAGAGTGTCAGCAAACTTTTGGAAGACATTTTTCCAGGGTGTGTGCAACTAATGGTGAGAGGGCAGCCTTGACTGGTTTTGAGCATTTCTTTGTACTGTAGACAGTTGTGCCAATAAAGTGTGTTGATAGTAAGTACTGGGACGCTTCCATTAGCTCTTGGGGTGTAAGTACTATACAGGAAGGTTTTAGGGAACTCAGACATCTTCCATGCTGTGTTCTCCTGGGGCCTCACCTCTGTTGAGACCAGGGATACTTATTTCCAAGTGATTAGCTCTCATCACCTTAACAGTAACCTTCCCGAAAGCGTTGCTTGCTCTGAGCCAGCACTTCATGAATATCCCTGCACCTGTCCCTACAGGAGGTCAGTTTCCTCAGCCTACATTTCCCACAAATGGAATCCCTGAGGTGAAAAATACTTTGGATGGTGTGCCCTTCCCACCTGGTCCTATGAAGCCTGAGGACTGGCCTGATTGGGGTGAGCCTGAGGAGCCCGAGAACCACACCATCCACCTGCAGGTTTGGCCCCAAGAGCCAGGCAATGCTGCCGAGACACTGTGCGTAGACCTGAGCCCAGAGCCAGAGCCCTGGGAGAACCAGTTGGGCAGCCTCAGTACTGGAGGAACCCCCAGAGGTGGAGCACCCTCAGGGGAGCAGAAGCCCACTCCTGTGTGTCCACTCATCAAAGAGGCCGAGCCTCCAGAATCCAGGCTCCCCCAGAAGGCTGGTTTCATACAGAGAGGGGAGGACCCAGACCCAACCACGCCACCGAAGGTGTCTCAAGAAAGGCCTCATAAGGTGCCGTCGGAACTTGGTTTAGGAGCGGAGTTTACCATTCAGGTAAAAAAGAAGCCAGTGCAGGATCCAGAGTTGGACTGGTTTGCTGATATGATCCCTGAAATTAAGCCCTCAGCTGCTTTTCTTATCTTGCCTGAACTGAGGACAGAGGTGATGGTCCCCAGCAAAGATGATGCCTCACCAGTAATAGAGTTTTCCTCAAAATTTGCCGCAGCAGAAGTTACTGAGGTGAGTACTTTTTTGGTTGAGGGATTTCCCATAGGTCCCAGTGGCACTGCCCCATTTGTAAGAAACATGGTTTTCTTGAGCAAGGACAGACTAGTGTGCTCAGCCACACGCAGCAGTCAGTCTAGCATCAGCTTAGAAATCAGTGGTGCCCCTTCCCCAGAGAAAAATGCTTGGCTGAGGGCCTGGCCTGCTTGCTCCATGAGCAGCCTTTTCGTCTGGATCACGCTGTCGAGGATTTTACTGGATTGTGTGGCTCTTGAGTTATGTTCTAGTGCTGTGGTTCTGTAGTGATGGAGCCGAAATAACCCTGCCTGCCGGCTCTCTGGCACTTTACTGAGCGTGAGGAGTGCATCTGGGCTCAAGAGAATGGTCAGGTCCCCCTGCAGTTCCTGACCTGCAGGGTCAACAGCTGCTCCTGGTGTCTTTATTTTGCTGCAGGGCGAGGCTGGAGGCTGGGGTGAAGACGGGGAGCTGGACTGGGGAGACAGTGCCTGGTGACAACACGTGTGAAGTTAGGAAAAAGGATTGCCTTCTCAGAACAATCAAATCAATACCTCAGAAGCAGGCTCTGTGGAGCAGAACCCCACAGCACCAGTCTCCTGCATCAGGAGCTCTTTCCAGCCCGTGCCAACCAGAGAGCAAGGGTGGCCGAGGACCAGCTGAAAGCCAGCAGGAGAGGCCCGGCCCCGGCCCTGGTCCGGAGACGGAGACAACGCCCGGGGACAGGCTGAGACTGGTCTCCGTGCAGAGCACGCAGCCGAGGAGAGGCTGAACTCAGTTTTGTTCCAGGACAATTCTGGAAGTAAGAGAAAATAAATATAAAAATTCAGGCTGGTTAGCTTCAATTTGTGCCATTTCTTATAACAGAAGAGTAAGCTCTTATTATGAATACAACTTACTGCAAAGATTTTAGCTATAAATTATATAAATGATTTTAAAATGCTGAGATTTCCTTAGGCAGCTTATTTATTTGTTTACAGTCGTACCGTGGGAGAGTACAGTCCCATGTGGACCCAGCAGTTGCTGACTGTCCTCATGTATTATGTGGTACCAAAGTTCTTAATGAGAATTATCCCACAGTCCTGTTCTCTAATGTCAAATAAAGACTATTTTCACTAGATTCAACTTTTATGAAAAGCTGTTTTAGGTGTACAGCCATGATCTTATCAGTGTCTTCATTTACAAAACATCGACCCGCTTAGCCTGGTCCACACAGGTCTCGTCACCAAGCAGGCAGTGCCTGAGCTTCTCAACCCTTCCTTGCAGATCCTCCAGCTCTTTTGGAAGCCAGGTGGGAGCAGGTGCCTTTCGCAGCAAGGACTCAGCTGCCTCCAGGGCCCTTGCGGCGGCCTGCAGTGCTACCCGGTATTCCTCTTCCAAGGGAAACTCCTGACGGGCTCTTTTTGCATAAGGCTGGAAGTGAGGAAGATGAGGGGCAGGTCATACCATAGAATACATTGTAAAGGTAATAAAAATCTAAACCTCTGGGACCAGCAGTTAGTATAATGGCTATGTCGCTGGACTCCCATGTAGTCGACCACGGTTCGAGTCGCAGACCCGGTGGCTTAAACTCACACCGGGCGCGTGTGCATGCATGCCCAAGATCCCGAGAGAATGGAGGAGAAGGCACTGCCGCATGGCCATCCCCCTGGGGGTGATTTCTCGCTTTCTGTCTCTCTGATGAGTGCACGCGCCCTATAGCAAAAACCTCTCCAAAAAAACCCCCACAAACTTCTGTTTTGACTTGGAACAAGGCTGATCAGAACAGATTCTAATACTGCAAAAATTTGAGTGCAAATTGGCCAGTAGATCAAAGGCCATGAGGGCAGCAATTACCTAGAAAATGAAGGCATTTATGGTTTTTCATGGTGACTCAAGATGGCTACTGCCATGTCCTAGTTACAGACAAGGTCATCAGAAAGTCCATGAAAAATGTGTACTATACAAGCACTTCTAAATTGTTTCACACCAAAGTAAGCTTGTACCTTAATTCCATTTTTCCACAAGTTTTTGAAGTGCCCTCCTGTGTGGCATACAGCCAAGGGCATCCTGTTGCCTAGGACGCCCAGTAGGAAGCATGCCCAGCCTATGATTTCCAGTGAGTAAGCTCCAGACGTAGCCATAGTTTGCCCTTGCCCAAAAAAGAAAAGGCACGTCTGCTGAACTTCGTACGTTTGTGGTGCTTCTTTTTAATCTGCAGAGGGTCTGTGTGCACTCATGGGGGGGGAGAGAGTGAGAAAGCAGCCCCTACAGAGCACAGTCATCCCACCGGCCCTTCATCTCCTTAGGATGCTGGGCAGACACCCACACGTGTTCGGCATGTCCCTGAAGCTGCTAGGTCTGGGACTTATACCACGGTCAGTGCTGTGGGATCCGGCTGCCTTAACTTCCGAGCCACTGGTTGGCCCCTGGTGTTTTTTTTTTTTTTTTTTTTTTTTTACCTGGC